AAGGCAGTATGAGGTTAGCCCAGACTACTTAATGTCACCTTGTGTTTAAAACAATGGGAAAGAAGAAAAGAATTCCTAGAATGGTTTGGAGTCCTAGAATCGACTCAAGAAAAACAAATTTCTGTTGTTACTGCTGGTGATGATCTCAGGGAATTAGAGGCATGCCTGAAGAGAAGTCAAGGCCCAAGTGTCTTCACTGGTAAAAGTAACTAAACAGTTAAAGAAGAATTAATAACAAAATTTTCACAAACTTGTTCAAAAAGTAGAAAACATTTCCCAACATGTCCTCTGAAGCCAGGATTATCTTTGTGTACAAACTAGGTAAAAACATTACAAGAAAACCAAGCTAACATCTATTATGAAAAAAGCGCAAAATTCCTCAACAAAATTCTGCCCAACTGAATCCAGGAATATGTAGGAAGGATTATATAGCATGACCAAGTAGGATTAATCCTGGGAGTACAAGTTTGTCTTTAAAACCTAGAATCAACATACTGTATCAGTAGAATAAAAGACTACATGATCTTCTAAATAAACACAGAGAAAGCATTGGCCGAAACTCAACATTCATCTGTGATGAAAAACATTCACTAAAACAGGCAAAGAAGTGAACTTTTCAACCAGTTTTGCATATATGAAGGAAAAGTAAAGACAAAAGCGAAACCCCACAGTGTACATAGTATTTAGTGATGAAAGGCCCAATGCTTCTCTCCTAAAATCAGGAACATGAAATGAGTATCCATGTTTGCTACTTTGTTCTACACTGTAGGATGGGAAAGTTCACAAAAGGCCTATAGATTGCAAAGTAGGAAGAAAACCTCTTAAGATGATATCATCTTATAAAACCCTAAGGCATTCTTTAAAAATATTAGAATCAATAAACAAGTTAAATAAAGTTGCAGGATATAAAAGCAGCATACAACTAAATTTTGATATTATTTCAGTGAACAGCTTAGAAAGTAAATTAAGAGAATAATTCCATTTAACTTAGACTAAAAAGAATAAAACATTTGGCAATAAAGACGTGTAAAATAACACATTGTTGAAAGGATGAAAGTGACCTCAGTAAATGGAAAAATATAATATCTTCATGGAATGTTAGGGGTGGCAGTATTTCTAGATGATCAGATTTAGTATCCATCTATCTGTTCTTAAAACTTCAGTCGTGTCTTTAGAATTAACAAGGTGTTCTCAGTGTTCAGGTAGAAATTTAAGGGGCTGAAGAGAACTGCAGGAGGTTTGAAAAAAGAACAAAGATAGAAGATTCACTTCTTGATTCCAAAATGTATTGTAAGCCAGGCCCACACCTGTATACCTGCTACTTGAGAGACAGGGAAGAGGGGTGCTTGGGCCTAGGAATTGAAGGCCAGCCTGTTCAAAGACTTCAAAAAAAAAAAAAAAAACCTGTAATACTATTCTGGTTGTAAAAATATGACTTCAGTGTAAGGATAGATGTGGTGATATTTTGTTTGTGATCTAATAAATAAAGCTTGTCTGAAAATCAGAGTGTGGAGATAGCCACACTAGTTAGCCATAGATGATAGGGACTGGTGGCACACATCTTTAATCCCAGCACTCCAGAGGCAGAGGCAGGCAGATCTCTGTTAGTTCAAGGCCACCCTTGGCTACATGAGATTGATCTAGTCTAAAAGAAGAAACAAAGCCAGGCAGTAGTAGTTCACATCTTTAATCCCAGTACTTTGGAGTCATATGCTTTTAACCCCAGCACTAGGGAGATGGTGATAGGAGAGAGATGGCTTGATGGAGAGAGGAATATAAGGCAGGGGGAGACAGGAGCTCATGGCATTCAGTCTAAGGATTCTTAGGGACAGGATTGATGCTTTGGTCTGAGGATTCAGTAGAGGTAAGATCTAGTGGCTGGTTGCTCTGCTTCTCTGACCTTTCAGTGTTTACCTTGATATCTGACCCTGGGTTTTTATTATTAAGACCTATTAGAACTTGTGCTACAGATAGACATATAATTGATGTGGTCAGTGGAATAGAACAGAGAGTCCAGAAATCCTCACATGTACAGTTAACTGGCTTTTCAGCAATAATGACAACGCTGAACAGTTTTTCAACTAATGGTCTGGAACAACTGGATAGCTATGTGCTTAAGTATGAAGTTGGGCCATACCTCACAACATAAACACAAGTTAACTCTATACTAAATGGATCAAAAACTAAAGGTCAGACATAAAACTATAAAAGTCTTAGACAAAAACATTGGTAAATTTTTGTGGCATTGATTTCTGTAATAATTTCTTACATGTGGCATTGGAATTTCTGGGACTTGGGGGGCAATTAAATCGATTAGGGTAGAAACTTCACAAGTCTGAATAAACAAAATCACTGAATTTTGTACATGAAGTGCGTGAGTTCATGGTATATTAACTGTATCTCAAAACAGTGAGAGTGAAAACTAATATGTACTTCACAGCAGAAGATGTAGAAATGTTCAGTGGGTCTTTTAATCATGGTAAATAACACTACATATTCAGAAAATGGCAATTGTAACTGTGAGATATGCTACATGCCAAACAGAACCAAGACTGAGGATGGCAATTGGTCGGCCTCTAGAGTCTCACTAGCTTCTATTTTGTCTGTTTTTGATTACAGCACCTTAGTGTTTTTTGTCGGCTTAGTGGCTGCACATGAATCTACTGATATTTTCATTGGCTGCCACCCCCAGCCCCCCAACCACTCAGACTTCGAGCCGGATGTGATATGTAGGTTCTGTTTATAAATAAGACTCAGAAGTCAAAGGCTGAGGTGAAAATCTGCTAGCTCAAAGAGGCTGAATAGCAGCTAGTTGACCTTGCTTTTGACTAGAGATGCTGGTGAAAAAGACAGATCTCCTCTTCCCTCTTCCCAAAACCAAGAGAACTCAAATTCTAGTCCCTGCCCTTTCCTTCCTATGTGTCTTCTTTATCCAAATTGCTGGCTTCTGTATGGCCAATTCCAGTCAGCTAGTCACAGGCTCTGTCCCCTGAAACAAGGTATAACTTTATTGGGCAGTCTCAGGGGTATCAGAGTGTGATCAAAATATCTCACAACAGCTCTTACTGTAATTTCTGTGTTAAGAGTTACTTGGCTGCCTCAGTTTTCTGCATTACCACTGGAAGCCTGGATAGATGATTGGATAGAATTGCCTGTAAAGTATGTAACATATGCCTATAAAAATACTGATTTTTATGAATATCTGAACAATCTATACCAGAAGTAGGAAAATAGATAACTTGATGTATTAAGCTTATGTTCTTGGATTTATAGTTTCTTTTTCTTGAGTCTCCTCAGCAATGGGAAAGCATATCCTGTATCCTGGTTCTTTAATAGATAAAGAATTGGAGACCAGTGACTTAATTTGCTTATAACTAGACAACCCATGTCTAGTTTGGGTCTCTGTTACAAAGCTCTTTCCTCTAAATGTGTCACACTGTCTATGAGACAGAAATATGTTGGAGGTTTTTTTGTTTCGGTTTTGTTTTACACTGGACTGACTTTTTGGGATTTAATGATCATTTTCAGAGAGAGGAACTGTCCTTGAGGGGACAAGAGAATATATGGTAAAGGAGTATGAGCAGACTTCATGATACATAGAAAGATGCCAGAATGAAACCCATTATTTTGTATGCTGACTATAAATAACAGAAGGCAAAGATACATCTATGAATCAGCAATAAAAATTAATTTTTATTAAATTTAAAAAAATCTATTGAGTGCTGCATGCAGGCATTTGTGGTGGTTGAAATGTGGTGACTGTATTGGTCCTGATGCTTAAAATTGCGGAGAGGAGAGTACAACTAACACTAGGAATATAACAATGATTACATTGGTAAAAAGTCTTTAGTACTGTGTTGATAACTTGAGGAAGAGGGTGACTCTGTTGAAGTTGGCCATAGAAGATGAAATGGTTGAATTGCACATTGAGACTATGTGGGAATTTGACCATTTATATATAGGTGTTATTTCTGTTCTGTGACTACGTAAATTTAGACTGCAGTAAATAACTACTTAAAATAGAAAAATCCATTGTTCATTTATAGGAATGCTGTGTTCCTTATGCCTTTTAAATCATTAGCTTTGTGTTCAGATAAATTAAAAAACGCTTGGCAAAATATAGAAGCCTTAGAAAACAAATGTTTTTTGTGGTTAGTCTCTAATGAAATTAGAGTTTAATTTTTTAAAAAAAGTTACTGTCATATGCAGTTTTAAACATTTTATAATATTAATCTGTTATTACCTAAATTCACCCATATTCAGGTCTTCAAGTAATATCTTAATACTAATGATTAATATTTCTTTTTCCCCCAATTAGGTGATTCCCCTTTTTTACTTCATTTTGTCTCCTCTTTCATTATTTCTCTTGTGATAATAGAACAAATTGAAGAAAAATGGAATCTTTGGGTTTTGAATACTTCATTCAGCCATGTTGTGCTGCTTTTATTCCATAGTCTTTTTTTTTTTTTTCACTCCATGCTGTGTGAAACCATAAGAATGTTGCCTGCTACCTAACAATACATTCCTTTAAAGTGTGCCCAGACAGTTCTGGAAAATAGAGAATCTATTCACAGATCTTAAAACTAATGATTGCATGTGGCAAGATAGGATTTTGCTTGTGTTTTGTTTGGGATTTGTGTGGCATTTGGTGGGGGGATTGGTTTGGTTATCATGTGGCTGATGTTTGATACTCTGAGTTACACACTGGTGACAGAGGTCTCTGATATGCTGTCTTTGGAAGAGTATTCTTAAATCTGGATGGATTTTGGTCATAATTTTAATGGTGGTACTCTTTGCATGTTAATCTGACTGGTTTAGAATAAACATTGTGTTGGGAAATTGTATGACAATATGAAACCAATAATATTTGCTATGAGACTGTCATAATATTGAAGTCTCATAAACATAAATTAGCGGTTAACACAAGGTAATTAAAAGGAGTTATTTCCTTTCATTTATGAATGCAAGTCAAAGAAAGAAAAAATATATTTCATTTTTAGATTATATAAATGGTGGAGAACTTTTTACTCATCTTTCTCAAAGAGAGCGTTTCACAGAGCACGAAGTGCAGATCTATGTTGGAGAGATCGTGCTTGCCCTGGAACACCTGCACAAGGTAAGGTGCTTCATCTTTGGAGTTTGCTTTTGAACAGTCTGTTAACTGCGGTGTTGATGGACCTAACAAGTTGATGTTTTCACAGGTTGTCTTGGGGGTTGTGAATGTTACTGTGTTCTTAGTTTCATAGTTCCTTTTGAAAATGTTTACTTTTTGCTGGACATGGTGCAGCATTCCTATAATCCCAGCACTTGGGAAGCTGAGGCAGGAAGATCATGAACTAAAGGCCAAACTGAGTTACAAAGTGAGAACCCCACCTCAATAAATGAACAGAAAATAAAGTCTTGTCTATTGTGTTTTGAAACATCAAACAAACAAACAAAAGAACCTGAGGCTTTTTTTACTTTTTTGTTGGTCTTCATGAAAAAAAAAAAAACACCCAGGATTTTGTTTATTATAAAATACCATCAAAATAAAAGCTGTTGGTTGTTAATGAAACCCCAAGTTGTAAAATGTATTTTCTTAATTGTGACTCACTCCATGGCACAATCCATCTGTCTGTTCTCAGAGGGCACTTCCTGCTTTTGCTACTGGTTCTGAGTTACTTCCCTCCCTCCTACATTAACTTGCTTCTGTACCCGCCCTGCTCTGTTCCTCCTCATTGCCTCCAAGTGGTGTGAGCTCAGACAGGGAAACATTTACCTGGACATTGTATCTATGATCCTGTTGGAACTCTGTACAAATCAGTTTAAACTTGTGTTATTGCAGATATTCTTAACCTTGATTCATGAAATTTTGACTTATTTAAGTTATTGAAGAAGAGGCAGTTTCTGTATTGTCTCAGTGTGTATGGTTTTTGTCAGAAGGAGAAAATGCTAATTTATATCAAAGTCATTAGAGTCCCTAAGTTTCAACAATTCAGATATGAAGCTACTCTTTGTCATCCCTCCCTTAGCTTAGTTTGATAAACAGATTAAAGTATAAGTATGCAACACAGAAAAAAAGAGGTGAGAATTGAAGCAAAATGGCAAGGAAGACATCTTAAAGGGGCAGGAAGTTTTGATCAGAAATTGAGTCAAAGGTGGAGACAACAGATGAGAAAGATTGAGAAAAGATTCTGGAAGATACAAGGAAATGAGGCAGAGTCAAGAAACTATAGGTCTAGCCCAGAGCAGAGACAAGTCCTGACAGAAATGCCTGTCCTGACAGGTGGAGGAAGACAGTTAAATTTTTAGAAAAAAGTCCAGCATCTGGGAGATGTAGGGATCAGGTTGTGATTGGAGATCAGCCTGGTTTTACATAGAGAGACCCTGCCACAAATGAAGAGGGAATAAAGATGTCTGAGAAGCAGGAAGAGAAGAGAGAAGAGCACGGGAACAGTAAATGACCATATGTGATGCTTTTGATAGAATTCTCACTGTGGTGACAAGCTTCATGCCTGTGCTTACTTTTTGTGATATGACTTACTTTAAACATCTTTATATCAGAAATACTACTATTCAGAATAAGCTACAAAGCCCTAGAAACTTACAATTAAATATAATGTTTTAAAATATAAAAATGACAGTAAAATTCACTATAAGCACCAAAATAAAAACAAAACATAAAGCCAAATGGTTAAGCTAGAAAACACAGTCTATAATTTATATAATACTTTAGTTCAGTTCATTTTGTTCTAGTAGAGGAAAATTCCATGTTCATTATTACTAAACTAATAAGAAACATGGATAATGAGAACACAATGAATCTGGGAATAAATGTGATGGATATGCAATGAAAGCACTATAGCAAATGATTTCTCAGCTGTCTTACCTTAAAAATACACATACCCAAAGCAAGCAATATTATTTGATAGAGATACTAGCACTGATTCTTATAGGAGAAGATAAAATTACAAATTTATTTGGAAGTGTTGAAGTACATTGGATAGTAAATAATTTGTCTCTAAAACTCCTTCCCAAGGAGGTTATTTAAGTGCAAAGTGCCTCTGGTTTTTAAGTAAATTCAATGCTTCAAGTCAAATGTCTGTTCAGTACACACTCTTAAGTGTTTCCTTCCTATCTTTCTTGTAAACCACTGAAGCTTTCATAGGAAAACTGCCCACTGTTTTGTTTTGGTTTTTTGTGTGTGTGTGTGTGTGTGTGTGTGTGTGTGTGTGTGTTTGAGGGTGTTACAATTTTTACTTCAGCTTTGAGAGATTATTAGCAATCTGCTTTTTCCTGTATTTGACATTGAGGAAAACAATATTTCAAAGAATCAAATCACTTAATCCATGCTGATATAACTGAAAATATGAAGTAGAAAATTGAGGTGTGTCAGACACCTCTTAGATTTGTGTTATATAGTTGAAATGTCTTTACTATACTGCTTACATGAAAAATAAATGAGAGAGGCATACAGTCTTGAACTGTGTAACATTTCACTCAGTGATGGGCCATACATTCAACAGGGATCCCATAAGATTGCAGTAGAGCTGAAAAATTCCTGTCACTTTTGTTTATGGAGCTGTCAAAATGCTATACTTGACTTCATCCCTGTTTATTTGTTGCTGGTGTAAATAAACCAGCTGTGCTACACTCATGTAATAACCCAACACATATCATTATGTACAGCGGAGTAAAACCTGGTAATGGTCAAAAGTCAAACATACTTCTGGTTTATATATTTAATATATATTTTAACCATCATTTTAGGAGGTTTACTATAAGACAGTTTACTGTGTTTCAAAGGCAGCAGCTTGTTTACTCTGTTGTCAATTTTACTTGATTTGCCCATTTGCTGTTTTGTTCACTGTGGCCTCAGGAGGAATAGGATACATATACTCTTTCACTACACTCCCAAGGTTTGTGTAAGTTCTCTCCATGATGCTTGTACAATTGAAATCATCTAACAATATACTTCAAGAACATAACCTTGTTGTAAAACAATACATGACTGTATAAATGTTATTTAATGATTTGCTTTGCTGATTTAGAACTAAACATCAAAATTTACCTGTGCTCTTTAACCTTTATGTTTAAGAGCTTATTATTTAAAGAGTCTTTATTAATTACCTGTCTGACACATTGCATAATACAGGATACTAGATAAGTGCAAAAACTCTGAAAAAGCACAGAGTGTAAATATATTAAGGTAAATGGTAAATGGTAAGTACATAGTTTAAAAACAGAAATGATCAGCATTGGATATAGTTCCTTAGGATGATTTGCTGAAGCCATTACAGAGTTGTGGGCAAGAATTGGTCAACAAGGACCATGAAGATAATTTGGAATGAGTGTGAAATAAGGAGAATGGAGACAGAAAGAGGCAATAGTCAACAGGGAAACCCTGAAGAACCTGGTTCCAGGGAGAGACCCTTGTCACACATTTGGAGAGCTTTGGGAAAGCCAGCACTTGAGCCCCAAGATGGAGCATTTGCTCTCAGAGTTGCTAAGAGCCTCAGAATCCTGAAGAGGAACCTCCTCAAAGGTAGAAAAACGCTCCCTTAATTGATTTGGAAATTATCTTAAAATGCATTTTGTTTTGTTTTGTTTTTACAGTTGGGGATAATATACCGTGACATTAAGCTTGAAAATATTCTGCTTGATTCTAATGGACATGTGGTGCTGACAGATTTTGGTCTGAGTAAGGAGTTTGTGGCTGATGAAGTGAGTATTATATTTTAATTTAAAGTTAGTAATAGAATGTAAACAAGGATGAAAATTTATTTAGCAATAAATATTTAATAAGGCAGTAGTACCATATGGGTTACAGATTTTTGTTCAGATTTTTCAAAGGAACTTTTTGATATAAACGGACTGTTGAGATTTTTAGTTTAAAATCACCATGAAACCATCCTATTAGAATCACAGTAAACCTTTCAAGGATATATCGGACTTCTCCACTTTGACATGGCACACATAACTTCTCCATAAAATGTGCCAGATACAACTAATATCTAAAATAACTCTTTTTACCCTTTAGGAGACTGGATTGGGTGGGGATCAAAAAGAATCCAAAGTGAAACTCATCTAGTTTACATTGTAATTGCCAGCTAAGACCTGCTGCAATGACCCTTAGAGTTCCCTGGGAAGGATGACAAGACCTACCAAACTAATGCTTTAATAATCTTGCTGGGCTGTGCTCAAAGTGAACTAAAACGTAGTAGCAGATATGCTCATTGTAGATATAAACCGATGGTCCCACATTCACAGTGTTAGTTAAGGACTGTTTAATATCACAGATGCTTCCAATTGCATTTAAAGCTATATGTCTACTAATTGTAATCAAGTGTTATTTTTATGTAGGAGTTACAGTAAACTTGTGTTTTCAAGTACTAATTATTCAAAAGAACTGTATGTTTGGGGGGTCAGTCTTGTTTCTATCCAGGAAATTATTGGTGTAGAATATAGAATCTTAGAGTTTTGTAGCTGGGCGTTGGTGGCCCATGCCTTTAATCCCAGCACTCAGGAGGCAGGGACAGATGGATCTCTGTGACTTTGAGGCCAGCCTGATCTACAAAGCAAGTTCCAGGACAACTAGAGCTGTTACACAGAGAAACCCTGTCTAGAAAAACAAAAACAACAGCAGATAAGAGTTTTGTAATACAGGACTTGACTGAATAAAACGCATCATCATTATTATGTTCCAAATTAAGTATAGGTTGAATAGCCCTAACCCAAAAATTTTGAGTGCCAACATAATGTCACAAATGAAAAATGCCATACCTGCCATCCTATAATGTACCAAACATTACACAAACACACAACATAGTTTATTTAGTATCCCTGAGGATCGGGAAATTCTATCAATTGCGATACATCTTTTGCATGAATGCCCAGGTTCCCAGTGCAGACTAGAAGGTAGTAAGGCCATACATGCAGCTTCATGTACAAGAACAGGTTCTTGATAAACCCCTGCATCTGCAGCCAAGGCCTGTGTACATTTTATTAATTTTGACTTAGCCTCTACTGTGTAGTGTAAAGATATGTTGGAAAAGCAGAGGGGCTATTCATCCTCATATGGTAAGTGCTAAGAAAAAGAGGAAGCATTTAAGTTTATGTCTAACACAGACAAACAGGCTGCTGGAGAAGCTGCACAACAGTGCTCGTGTGAATGGCTCATTGAAGAGCATTGTGTAGGAATGGCGGTTGTATCAAACCTAAGGAAACAGAAGGAGGAACTGTTAAGATTTAAAGTAATAAGTAGAAGTTGATGAAAAATAGAAAAATGGTATAGCAAGGTGCCTTATGAATAAAAGGACCAGCTACCAAGCCTGACAACCTGAGTTTGATTCCTAGGACTTACATAGTGGAAGGAGGCAATCAATTCCCTCAAGTTGTCCTCTGACTTGGTCACACACACACACACACACACACACACACACACACACACACACACACACACACACTAAATAAAAACATAAAAGAATGTTGAGCAAGTAGCTCTTTTACTGTCACAGTGAACTCAAGACACTTCACAGTGTAATGATTGAGCAAACAATGTTGTATCATGATGAACTAAAATTGAAAGTAACTATAAATATTCAATAAGCTTGTTGCAAGACAGTTTTAAATTTTAAGATTCATAGTTATATCTAGGTCTGGTGGCTCAGGCTTATAATCCTGTCTCCTTGGGAGGCTGAAGCAGGAGGATCTCAGGTTCCAGCCTACCTAGACAACAGAGTGACTTCAAGAGCAGACCAGGCAACTTACTGTTGAGTCTTGTTTCAAAGTAAAAGGTAAACAGGGTTGAAAATAGAGCTCTGTGGTAGAGTGCCTGTCTAGTGTGTACAAGGACCTGTAATTGAGCCATAGTATGATAGACATATGGATGGTAGATGATAGGTAAGTAGGTAGATGGTAGGTAGGTAGGTAGGTAGGTAGGTAGGTAGGTAGGTAGATAGATAGATAATTAAGCAGTAGAAAAATTCCATCCCATATTTGCCAAGATCATTACTGAGAAAATCTGATGCTTGAACAAGTTCGTAATACTGATGAAATATAACCCTTTAACATTATTGCCCCGAAAGTCACTGTCCACCCAGCCCATGATACAGCTCCCAGAGGAATTCAAAGTACCTCACTAGACTGTCAAAGGGTCCTTGGCATGTAGTGTGTGAGCTGTCACCTGACAGACCTAATGATTGATTGCTTTCTTCTCTCTCCATGGATGCACACATCCATTTGCTCATTCACTCTGTGTTTGTTGAGGGCCTTTCTATATGCTAAATATTAGGGTAAATACAAAGCTGAAAAGAATCACTTGCTGCATACTTACAGGCCCATGTGGCTGATCATTTAGCAATAGGAGAAAACATATCACCTCCCTGGAGAATAGTGAAATGTTGGGACCCATAACAAAACTAAGCAAAAACACCAAAAATCAAAGCTAGTCAGAATTAGGGAATCTTGGATAGAATAAATGATAGACCAGCAGATGTCCTGTGTGACAGAAGCAGCCAGCTCTTCTCTTATGAGCAAAGAAAGGCCCTGTGTTTTCTGCTGGACAGGTCAAACACCACCCCCTAAGAGAATGCCAGCACTTGGTTATTTAGGCGCAAAAATGTTTGATTCGGGGAAAAAGCAGAGAACTAAGTCATTGATAAGTTAATTTTTTTCACTGACCACAGCCAACTGTATTTTGACAGAACATCACACTGTTGGGTTCTTTTAGCTCATTCTTTCTCTTTGCTTTAAAGGTTATACTGTCAGGCTAGACTTCAGCTTTTACTCTCAGGGGTCAGATAAGAATTTTTTCTGAAGTCTCCTACAACTTGATCTCATGGCCTTTTTGTCCCCAGTTCCACCCAGCACCTGTTTAGTAAGTAAGTGCCCTGACCCAGACCCTTCCCTTTAATAGATACCCTTGAGACTGTTTGGGTTAGTGTTTCTTTCCAGGTTCCCTTTTGGTGTGTGTGTCAGCCTAAGTCACCTATACCAAAGCATAGTCTTTGTAGGAGCTAGTGAATTGTTTACCCTATCCCTTTAGCCCGAGTGTCTTATCTGTAAGTGTCTATCTCATCTTACACTCTCCCATTTACACTTTGGTCTCACTGTCATCATTTAAGCATGCCTAGTAGCTTCAGTTTTAAATTTTTAAAAAGGGAGATAATGGACAAATGGACTGACTTAAAAAAAAAATGCTGGGGTGGCCCATCTTCTCTCTAGCTATTTTGCTCTTGTTCTCTGTCCATGTCTGTATATTGCCTCTACTTACAAACACATCAGCACTCCTGATTCTGTTCCAGTTTGTCTTACACCTTCCTACCAATTGGCTGACGCTGTCTAGCTGGTATCACTCTGTTTTTAGTGTGTTCACTTCCTTATATGCCCAATAGTATTGAACAATAAGTTACCTTTTACCTTGGAGCTGGGACACCACCGTTGCCTGACTTACTCTCACTTTCTTCTGTAGGCTCTTCCTCCACTATCTGAGGCTTCTTCATAGTTCAGTGTCAGGTCTTGTTAGCTTGTCCTCTCTCTTCATATGTCATACATGTTTAAATATATACTGCTAACCTGATCTCTCCTCTGGGCTCAAACTTTTCAATATTCCTGTAGTGTTGTGTTTATTTGATTCCTCCTAATGGCATCTCAAACTCCTCATGGCCAAAATTGAACAGACAGTCTCTCAACCAGGTCTGCTTTTGTTTCAATATCTGTAAATTCTGGTCTCACTTAATCTGGAAAATGTACTTACATTTAATTTTCAGCGACATACTTTTTATGTATGTTTGATGTATTCTGGTCAACTCTTTATTTTCAAATGATATCAAGAAACTCCTATATATTAAGAATTAAAATGGACCCTAGAAACAGGATGGTGGCCTTAACAAATCATGAACATATGTTTTAGAGGTATTTGTTAAATATCATACATGATTATTTCTAGATAGATGTTGCTGATCTGAATTATATACAAAATCAATTTTATTTTGGTAACTAAATATATTTTATGATAATGTATCCTTTGTACAGTTTGATACTTTTACTGGCATGTTCTTTTCCTGAACTATAAAATTGGTAAAATTTGTAAATTGGTAAAAATTGAGATTCTGAAAGTAAAAGAAAGTTCCTACAGATGAGGATATGTCTTCCACAAGAGTAGCTATGGTAGTTAAGAAATGTTTGTTGGGCTGAGCAGTGGTGATGCATGCCTTTAATCCCAGCACTCAGGAGGCAGAGGCAGGCAACAACAACAACAAAAGAAATGTTTGTTGAGAGCTGTTGAAATGGATCAGTAGTTAGGAGTATTGGTACTCTTCCAGAGGACCTAGGTTCTATCTACAGGAGCACATAGTAGCTCACAACTGTCTATATCTCCAGATCCTGGGGATCTGATGGCCTCTTCTGGCTTCTGTGGGCATAAAGGAACACACAAGGTATACACATACAAACAGGAAAAACATCCATACATATGAAATTGAAAAATCAATAAATCTTTTAAAAAAAGAAATGTTTGTTGAGTTAAACAGTTTGCTATATATTGCATATGTAATTCTAATGTGGAATAAGACAGTTAAAATAGGATAAAGTGAAGATAATGAATAACTTCGACAAAATTGTCTTTTTATTCATAAACAGTGAAATAATGTTGAAAATTATATGTTCATGTGTTACTCTTCTCTATATAAATATTGTGTTTAAAATTTTTCATAACAATCAAG